TTGCTTCCGCGAAGCTCTCGCCGCCAAACCGGAAAATCGGTCACAAAAGACGTTTTATGTTTCAGATTGGTGAGTGAAACGGACGGTTCGGTGGTTGAACCAACGGCTAGGATATGTGCATGGATCGCTAGTAGTAATAGTAACAATGGAGCCATCAGTTTAATTGATTTGTGTATAACCATTTTTCTCTTTGTTTTTGTTGCTACTCGCTAATAAAAAAATCAAGATGTGTTTGTTGTTAATCTTAATCACCTATAGACCTGTATTTATACTACTTTCATCTGGTCAATGTCTCAATCTTTTACTTTTTTATTATTATTTTATGGTAACTTTCAAGAACTATTCTGGTTTACTTATGAGAAACATAAATGGATAATGGTCCGGACCGAAGCAAATCAAATCGAACCATTTTGTAGATCAACTGTGGATTTTTAACGTTTCTTCTCACAAAGAACTTCATTGTGTTTGATACGAAATTGATGTTATATATAAATTCAATTTTGTTTTGTGCATTTCAAAGGTTGAAATTCTTGTTTCCAATTTTTTTTAATAAATTCAAATGCTGTCTAAGAATTTGTTTGGTAATACGCAAACGTTTCGTGTCTTGACTATTCAACCTAGGTTTAGAAAATTTGATCAGCTCTCCAATAACTTTTAATGTTGGCTTTCCCTAACCAAGTCTAATTTATTAACATTTGGTGTATTAGTTGTTTTCTTGATTATTTTAAGTATGTTTCAAGAAGTTCGGATTAGATCGTCACAAATCTTATGGATCTAGTAGTACTTATAGACGTCAAAGATATTGCATACTCTCTGCCTTAGAGCTTTGACACGGACTTAAAGATTTATGTCTAATCTAAGTATAATTAACATTGTAAATTACTTATTTTTTGGAGATGTCACAAGTAGCTATTTTGTGTCCAAGGGAATGAAATGTAATGAAAGCACCATTGATCCATAAGAAGCGCACTACATATTAAACTGAAACTAAGAGTATCCATATGTGGTTTTTCCACTTCTCTTTACAGATTATAGAACAAGACATGTTTTTTTGGAGTTTATTGAAGAATCAAAGACAACAGAAACACAAGCTAAGATCACAAAGACATTGGTGAATCAGAGTGAAGGATGAGAATGATAATACCATGTCAAATGATTTCTTGTGTGTACAGCAACAACTTCTCCATTTTCTATGTATCTCCAGTGTCGTATAGCTCATACTGTTAAAGATGATGAAAACACACACAATTAGGCACTGATCAGTTTCAAGGTTATACAAAGTAACACACACAATTGGCTCATCTTCTACAGTGTCTATGTGTGAGACCAAAATGACATTCCCTGAACTAATCATGACACAGATAAAAGAGTTCTGTTGTATCTAATTCACACAACAAAGAATCATAGGCATAGCCTCAAGTTCATAGCAGTAATCAATCCGAAACTAAGCTAATCAACCAAACAAAGCAATCCAATTTCCAAAGAACCAAAACAAGAATCAGAGAGAAAACAGAGACAGTACCTTTCTTCTTCTACATCAACAGATAAAGAACCATCACAACCTCCACAGAGAATCCAAGCAAAACCTCAACGAATCTTCTGGTTTCACCACCATCAGAGAACTCAAAGCTGTACTTATCAGTCATGTTATGATGCAAAATCCCCCAATTCCTAATCCCTTGCTTAGCTTCTTTCTCAACAAGCTCAAAGATATAAACCTCTGAAACACCTTCTTTCCTCAACGGTGTTCCAGTTCCACTTCTCAAATGATTCAACAATCCTTTCAAGTACATCTCACTGTACAACAGCGTCGCATCTACTTCACTAGCATCGATTCCAGAGCTAGGCCAACCAGTTTCCGCAACAATCACCGGAAGATTCTCATGACCCATAACCGCCATTGAGCTAATCACAGCATCAACCATCATATCGAAGAGATTCCGGTATCTAACTCCGGTGGTTAGATCGTCTCTGAAATTGAAAGGGAATTCTTCAAAAAGAGCAAATCCAATCGGAATCGAGAAGCTGGATCTGTACATATTATAGGGAAAGAGATTAATCAAGAAAGACGAGTTGGTTCTCTCGAGGAACTGCAGAATCGGCCGGATAATCACATCTCCGTTAGGGTTTTGAAACTGCGCCGACGAAGGAGGAAAAGCAGTGGGTACGATGTTGAAGAAAGAGAACGTAGTCGATACAGAAACCTTGTAGATTCTCAGATCTGCGAGAGATAGATGAATATTCTGCATCGCTCGGAGGAGGAACGGAGAAACGTCCGGCGAGTATGAAATCGCGTCGTTTCCGACGGAGATTATCGAGATCTTGGTTCGAGGATGAAACGGAAGCACATGGCGATAAACCCAACGCATCGCGAGGGAGCGATTCGAAGCGAGGAGAGGAACTAAAGGATTGGGAACGGAGAGGAAGAGAGATACGTTTGTGTAAGCGAAGGCACGAATCATCGCCGGATTTGAATCGAGAAGCCTCACCGCCGGAATATTCATGGAAACAACTTTCGCGGCGATTCTGTCCGGTGAGAGTAAGGCGGAGCCGGAGATTGAAGCCGGAGTCGAGTAGGTTACTCCGATCGTCGTCGCGGAGGTGGTCGTCGAGGTTAAGGAGAGAAGGAGGAGGAGATAAAACGCCATAGACTGCATTTTCTTCAATTTCTTGGTAAAGAGAGAGAAATCGGAAACTGAGAAACTGAAAGAAAGAGACGAAGAAAGGTAGAAGACGAAGTGTGAGAATGGGCGGGAGGATTCTGTTACAGGAGTGAGTGATTCTCTGTGCTACAGTCTATAATTGATACAGTACACATTACTTATAAACGCAGGCGTTGATGTGTGGACACGTGTCCACCAAGGTTTGACCAAAAGTCGTACAAGTATGATAAAACCCTCTCTACATTAATCAGAGGCTTTCAACTTCACAAGAGACCAACCATCAAGTTTCATTATTGAACGACACAAGAACGAAAGAGACTGAAATTGAAGTTTCAAAAGTAGAAAGTTTCAGATTTTAATTTTATAGACACCAAATCATGATAACAAACAAGGTTTAGGAGACATCAATGGAAACAAAGAACATTGAAGGATAGATTACAAGCTCACACACAAAGACAGAAGAAAACAAACTGAATCAGTTTGGGATTAACTTCGAATTTAGACTAGAGAGGAGGAAAGATTATTGGATTTTTTTAAGATTCAGGAACCGCGGCTGCGGGTACACCAGCGGCGACTGCAGCGGCTGCAGAGCGTTTGATGGAAGCGGATTTGATTAAGTGGTTGTAACTTCCCTTTTCCTTAAAAAGCTGAGCGAAATGGTGCTTGCAGTACAAAATTCCTTCGAGAGCTGCATAGTTGGAAGGCGAAATCGGGCAGCCTCCGTGCGAGCATTTGAAGCAGGACTTGTGATATGTCTGGCTCTCAACTGTTACCTGCAGTTTTCAGAATGAAAAAAAAAAAGAAGAAGGATGTTTTCAAAGTGTTTCAACTCAAGTCGTGATGATGTAAATATTATTCATATTCGAATCGAGTCTTTCACCAACAAAGAGCATTATGGTTTACTCAGGAGCCAAGCACTAGCTGTGAGAATCGGTTAGGAGTTTTAACAAGCAAACTAAAGCAACAAGAACCAATTTTTCTAGGGTCTGTACATATGTCAAGAGTCAAGACATTATCTACCTTGCAAGTTCTCGGTTTTTGAGGGCATTATGTAGTTATTATTAACATTGAAGAGAAAACACAGGAGAATCCTTGCAAATGATCAAAGAGTGTTTTAGTGTCATAAATCTCCACATAGATCATAGAGGACAGAACGGTGATTCTAAAGATAACTTAAAGGTAAATGCAAGAGTGAAGAGCTATCAAGACTAAATGAAATATGAACCTTTTCGATAGGATACACAGTTTTACTGCAAGTGGCACATTTCTCTTGAGTACCAGAGAACATGCCGGCAACTCGACTAGGCGTCCTTGTCTGAGAACAAACCAAGAAGGCGATATATAAGAGAAAAGTTCAATCTGAGTAATGAAGTATCCAAACCAGATAAAGAAACATTTACCAGCTCAGGAGATGATTTCTCAGCCGGTTTTGCAGCTGTGCAGAAAGAAAAGTTCCAAAGACAGATTAAATGAATAACCACAAGAAGGGCACGCGAAAATATTAGATCGAAAGCAGAAAACAAAACCACATACGTGACTGAAAGTTCTTGTTGAAACTACCAGACTCCTTGAAGAGCTGCTCAAAATGAGGCTTACAATACAACACACCTTCCATTGATGAATATCTACTTAGCTGAAGAAAGAAAAAAAGCTATTAACTTTATCAGAATCTGCTTCTGGGTCAAAATGTACATTCAATTTGTAGCTGATGAAGCTTGAAATCAGACACAGAATCATGATACATCATTCCTCAAGCTAAAGCAGCAAATACAGAGATGAAAATAAGACCTGAAGCCTGCTTTTGCAGTGAGTGCATTTGAAGCAAGATTTGTGATAACCAACTCCATCTGCAGAGAGAAGCTCCACTGGATAAACAGTCTTCTCGCAAGCCTTGCATTTCTGTTGAGTTCCTGAAAAAGACATCCTTTTGCCTTCACTTTTCTCACCTTCTTCTCCTTAAATTTCAAAAACCCAGAAACAATAAGAGGTAAGAAGAAACCCCAATTGACCAAATCCGTAATCGATCCGTTTGATACTCGATCAAATCAGAGAGGACACACAACATTTCTAAAAATTGTAATCGGAGAGAAATACAAAGCCGATCAATAGATCGTAAACTTCGAGAGAGTTTGTCAAAAAGGACGGATCTATTACCTCTCCTTGAGCTGATTCCTCTCAAGATCTGATCCACCTCGAACGAAACTGCCAAAAACACCCAACAGAGAAAAAACACCAGATTAACGAGAGAAAGATAGAGAGATGTAAGTATGCAATAAAGCAACTAGTTCGAAAAGAGAGCAATTACGTAATCTTTCGTCGATTAAACGAAAATG